GTATGTGCAAGATTGGCCGGTGTGCATTATTGCTGCTTATATGTGCATACATGTATAGTCATATTGAACTCTACTGGAGCCCATCAGTCTAAATTATACTTGTGTTACACAAATTGTGTAATTTTATATTGGTTAAGAACCCGCACACGAGGTAGTAAACGTATTGCATACTATTTGGTATTTTGGCTAATATTTGACCCAGTGACCTCGTGACACAGAAGGCTAGTGCGTAATGCCAATATTTAAAACAATATATGGTCAAAACAGTGTCATGTCTGTCTTCTTTATTCTGGAATATAGACAGTCAGTGAATTGTAATAATAGTGCCCTTTGTGTTTATATAATGTTGAGAGGTCACTGCATTAATTGGAATAAACTGGCCAGAAAATTGGATTGTTCGGCTTTGTTGAAAATGATATTCAAAACCAACTATATTTGTTAAAACAGTTAAAATATTACCGGGGTAACGTAAATTTGAAGGCTTCAAAGCCATATACTAGGTCACGTATATTATCTAAGTTTTGTGGCATTGTCAAAATTGACTTCCAGTGTAAAAATGCAATATGGACTACACGACACTCACCAAGCCAAAAAATAATGCAGATATTTTAACATTTTGGGTTCTTGGGACCAAGCTAGAAACTAAAGTCATAATAATTACTATCTGATACACAGACAGGGAATGGATGTCTTTGGAACACAAATAACATGGAATCCCATTACAGTAACTCATAGAACAAAGTTGTAATGTGGTGTGAATACATGAGACAAATGATAAATATACTTTTTACGGTTACCTGTTACTAACCAGTCTGTTGACACCAAGGCAAACTCCAACTACGATATACTCAGTTGTAACACAGAAAGTTACTCTTCATGGTAGTTTTCCACTGTTATTAGTTTACACTAAGGTAATTATGTTGTTTTGAAAGATTTACTAGTGGAAATGATCACTTATTACTCTTGTAGCAGGAAGGCTATTCCTCACATTGGATATCTACTGTCCAATGCATTATTTGACGCACAATATTGCAACCAAATTAGGCATGTGAGGTTTGGTACATTGGCTATTAACCAATGAGTGCAATTGTATGTACTTAAGCTAGAAAGAATAGCACAGTTTCCAGCTAGAAATTACATGTGTATTTACTGGTAAGCTATCTAGTGTTTAATTAAGGTTATACCACATGACTAAACTATGCAAAGAAATGCACACTTTGACAATCTTTACAATTGTATATTACAGTGTTGATGGAGCTCTTGGTGTTAATATCAGTGCACCAGGTGGTGCCATAACGTCTGTTCCTAATTGGACACTTAGAGGGTCTCAACTAATGAATGGTACCTCTATGTCTTCACCAAATGCATGTGGTGGAATAGGTAAGTGCATTGTTACTGATCTTTACTGTTATACCTCATATTTCCCGGCCTCGTAACGCTATGGAAGTCCCGATGCGCTTTGATAACGGCTGACGATATTATTCAGTGGATGGGAAATATACCAAAAGGCCAGTTGGACTCATTATTACCCTGACGAAAGCCGGCATACTACCACAACCAATCATAAAGATAACTGGTCACAAAAACGTGTCAAGTTTATAGTACTACGATACTCACAGTCAGCTGGCATGGGTATCACTCGATACACCCATCAACACCGATGCCAGCTGACTGTGACGATACTGTCTCCACAGAAGATCATTGGTGCATTTCAGATATTCTTAGTTGAGCTACGTCATAATCTGGAAATGTAAACCAAACTGCTTCTTGTCAAGCAATTGCTTTTCCTTCACCGACTAAAGTTTTTAACAACTGTGCGGCTACAACATCAGCTCCAAGGAAACGCCCGTTGTCGGACGGTCAGTAAATGACCAACCTTAGCTGGACTGTAGTGTTCATTCTTCCCGGTCATTCTTATGAAAGAAAGTTTATAATGAGTTTGTATTTATTACCGTTAAAATATTGTTATAAATTAACGTTCATTTTGCTGTTACATTAAAACGTAATTTGTGGATATATTTGGTGATATTCCTTTGTCTAATGTGTGAGAGTTGTTGACGCGTTTGCGTCGTTTAGAATCCCCCGTATAAATCCGTGCCAGTAAAGCTGCCCATATGGAAACCCGGATTGAATTGAATATGTTTTCTTTTGTGCTAGACGAGTGAAAAATAACATAACTAAGGACTTTTTTTTTCATATAAGGTATATGATAAAATCTTTATGGACTGGATACAGCTTTTGCTGCCCTTGATCGTACGCCGCACGACCTCGGGCCGCAAAAGTTGTATCCAGTCCATAAAGAATATTATGTATTGATTCAATGCAAATGAAAATAATGGAAGTTTGGTGTTTTGTGAGACTTGTTATGTTATTGTTTATTTAGTGAACAGAAAGATTATATAATAATTTTTCACATTATATTGGTTTTCTTGAATTGCATGGCTAATGCTACATTCTCATTTCCACAGCACTTGTATTATCGGGTTTAAAGTGCAATAGTATACCCTATACACCATATAGTATACGACGGTGTCTAGAAAACACAGCATATAAAGTAGACACCATTGAAACATTTGCACAAGGACATGGACTAATACAGGTTAGTTGTATTATAGTATTATAGTTTTATGGCCTTTTATTATTCTTCATTTGGACACACTTTTGACCTCTATGCATGCATGTGTGTATGTATGTATGCGTGTGTGTGTATCTCCACCTGTATCTCATATATGCCTGGACCAATGACATTAAGATTTCACACATACATTTTGCTTCTTGGCATACATATATACATGTCTATACATTTTACAATCCTATTCAAGTTGGTCAAATTTGATCAAAATTAGTCAACTGATGGCCATTTTGTATATCAAAACATTTTTTTTTTTTTGCTCATTTTTCGCTTCCTTTTGAGCTTATTGTCCATCGGTATGGTCTGGTACTATTTATTGTATTTATTTTATGAGTAATTATCACCTTGAATTTCCCTGTTTAGGTTGATAAAGCTTTTGAATATTACATGAAGTATGCAGACTCACCAGAAAGAAATGTTCGATTCAGAGTATTATGGGATAACAATAGGGGTATATATCTCAGAGAACAACCTCATTTATGTAAACCAATGGAGTGCAATGTAACAGTAGAACCAATCTACCCAGAGTCAACAGGTAAGCATGTAACAATAATCAATCTACCCAGGGTCAACAGGTTAGCATGTGACAGTAACCAATCTACCCAGGGTCAGCAGGTAAGCATGTAACAATAATCAATATTCCAGGGCCAACAGGTTAGCATGTGACAGTAACCAATCTACCCAGGGTCAGTAGGTTAGCATGTGATAGTAACCAATATTCCAGGGCCAACAGGTTAGCATGTGACAGTAACCAATCTACTCAGGGTCAGCAGGTAAGCATGTAACAATAATCAATCTACCCAGAGTCAACAGATAAGCATGTGACAGTAACCAATCTACCCAGGGTCAACAGGTTAGCATGTGATAGTAACCAATATCCCAGGGTCAACAGGTTAGCATGTGACAGTAACCAATCTACTCAGGGTCAGCAGGTAAGCATGTAACAGTAACCAATCTACCCAGGGTCAACAGGTTAGCATGTGACAGTAACCAATCTACTCAGGGTCAGCAGGTAAGCATGTAACAGTAACCAATCTACCCAGGGTCAACAGGTTAGCATGTGACAGTAACCAATCTACTCAGGGTCAGCAGGTAAGCATGTGACAGTAACCAATCTACCCAGGGTCAACAGGTAAGCATGTGACAGTAACCAATCTACCCAGAGTCAACAGATAAGCAATGTAGCAATAACCAATCTACCCAGAGTCAACAGGTAAGCATGTGACAGTAACCCATCTTACCCATAGTCTATGGGAAAGCATGTAACAGGTGAACCATTCTATCTAGACTATCCATTCCAGTACCCTCCACATCTTCCCATTCCAGTACCCTCCACTTCTTCCCATTCCAGTACCTAACATTTCTCCCCATTCCAGTACCTAACACTTCTCCCCATCCAAGTACCTACCACTTCTCCCCATCCCATCCCTCCCAACCCATTACTTACCATTTGTTCTCATCCC